GATCTACCCCACACAAGCTCGATCGGGTTCAACTCGCAATGGAACTTTGGACGCATGAGCGCAACTCCTCCGTGGCGCTTCAAGAGAACCTCTAGACTAGAGTCGACGGNGACTAGAGTCGACGTTCGCGAAATCCTTTTGCGCGCGCAACACCGCCGGCATGCTCATCTTCGGGTTAGGCTCCTGACCCTTCTTGCCCCCCAACACGGTCATCCCTGGGATCCAAAGCCCCCTCTCAAACAGGATTTGCTTCATCCCCTTGACCTTGCCTACGTGATCGGTGGCGTCTGGCTCATAGCATGGGTACTCTCCCTGCTGGAAGGTGAGGTGCTGCACTGCCCCTTTCTTGAGTGTGGGTGTGTCTTCCAGTATGGTGGTAGCATTCTGAGGAGCTAGATCCTGCCCTTTTCTCACCCTCCGGTACCCCGCGTTCATTCTAGATATACTTGGTGCCTCCTCCTCAACGCAATCATGGCACGATGACCAGTCGAAAAAACAGATGGGCCTGTGGTTCGGGAACTTGACGGCCAACAGATCCAACACATCCGCCATGTGCTCGATCATCTTCTCCCTCGTCCAGTAGCCCTCCTTGTTCTTGCCGTACTCGAACTTGTAGTACGTCGAGAAGTTGCGATCGTCGCCCTCGCCCTCGAAGTAGAGCATGTTGATGTCGCGGTACTTTTCAGGCCTGGTCTGATCACCTGCAGCGTGTTTTTCCTTCGAAATGCGGCAGCGCTCACGCCGCAGATCTTGGACCTTGTCGATTTCCTCTTGAGTGCCCTCTNCAGTAGCCCTCCTTGTTCTTGCCGTACTCGAACTTGTAGTACGTCGAGAAGTTGCGATCGTCGCCCTCGCCCTCGAAGTAGAGCATGTTGATGTCGCGGTACTTTTCAGGCCTGGTCTGATCACCTGCAGCGTGTTTTTCCTTCGAAATGCGGCAGCGCTCACGCCGCAGATCTTGGACCTTGTCGATTTCCTCTTGAGTGCCCTCTACGAATCCAACGTCGCCCACGATGGTGCCGGAAATCATGATGCCCTGTCCTTCTCCCTTCTTTCTCAGCCCGTGCGTCGTCGGTGGCCACCACGCCATACGCTCCCCGTCGTTGGCCCTGTAGATGCACTCGTCCTGGTGGCAAAATATTGCCTTTCTGCCATCGGCGTACTCTTTCTTGCTCGTGACCCTCGCTCGTAGATTCGGGTGGAGCTCGGAGAGAGTTTCCGCGAAGGCATGCACGCAGACCCAAACACGCCCGTCCTCCGTCCTGTCCCTCGGCGGCGTCTCCACGTCCTAGGTTCGGCTGCCTTCTCCAGCTGCGATCTATGCTTTGCGAACTTGCGCAGAGCCTCTGCCCTTCGCACACCCCTTTTGCTCTGGCGCTTGAGGAATGCCGGTCGCCAGACATCCTCATGTTTGTCCACTTCTACCGCCGCATCCAACATGGCGGTGGAGAGGTCCCGCACATGCATGTCGGCAAACTCCAGCTGGCCTTGCTCCACGCGCGCCTTGTATGTTGCCATCATCTCATACAACCTCTTCCGGCCGAAGCTTCCCTTCGGTCGGCCAGCCCCTGTAGATTTCTCCGCACGCCGCGCACTAGGTGCGCGTGCTGTGAAGGACGGACAGGGCGGCGGTGGTACCTTATCGACACGTAGCCTCTAGAGAGAAGCATTGCATAGCGTGGCTCCCACCATTGGCCACCACAGCAGCGGTCAGTCGTTGATGCAAGGAGGTCAGCGGCATGCTGCCGAGCACGCGCTCTGCTGCTGGCGGTGTGCATCATGATGCTGATCATGATGCAGGCGCGGATGACTGCGTGGATGGTGCGGCTGGTCGCCAGCACAAGCCGGTGTCGCACCCCTTGCCCGCAGCCCCATGCGCGAACACTCGAGAGGATTTCAACTCATTGCAGCAAAACCACGCGTCGGGTAGCGAGCCGTTGGGCAATTCCCACCTGTCGGCCGGCGGCACATCTGGCGGTGTAGCCTCCGGCGTGAACACTTTTCCTTGCGACACTCCTTCGGCTATCGGAGCGACTCGCAGAAGTGTGAGTGAACGTGAATCACCACCAGCGAAACGCCACGCGTCGCAAAGCCCATCATCCCGGGGGAGTTTAGGACGAGATGCAAGAAATTCATGCGAGGGCTTCGGGGCCGGTGAACGTCGCGGCCGGGTGCCACTCGTTCCTTGCTGCAGCTGTGCAGATGTCCCAAGCATCGCAGGCCTCGGGGGAGCTAGGGGAGCTATCAGGTGATGGTTTCGAATTCACGGAACCACGTACGCCCCTTTCGTCTGCCATTGGGGCACCTACGGGACCGGGATACTGCTCTACCGGTACGTACGGGCCGAGTGCACCATTGCTACATTCGGGGGTAGAGTTTGGAGCGCAGCTAAACTATGAAAGCCCACGCCAACTTGGAGCAATGTTGCCACCACGGCAGCACCTAGCCAACGCAGTGCCGTGGTGACCGCAGCAGCAGCAACAGCAACAGCAGCAGCAGCAGCAACGGCAGCAACAGCAACAGCAACAGCAGCAGCAACAGCAACAGCAGCAGCAGCAGCAACGGCAGCAGCAGCAACGGCAGCAGCAGCAACGGCAGCAGCAGCAGCTGTCAGCCGCCGGTTGCTTTGGAGGGCTATGGCCGCCGCCGCCGCCACCACCGCCACGGCTATTGATGGCGCAGCAGGTCGCAGCTGGCGGGGCGGTGTTACAGCCGCAGCAGGTTGAACGGGTACGTCAGCCACTCCCGCCGCTGCCGTTGCCTGTGCAGCAGGCGGCAGATGGGATCGTCGGTGAAGCCCTGACCGGCCATGGTTTACATCTGGTTTTGCAGCATGGCGCACCGCATGGCTCAGGGACAGGCGGTCATGAAGAGCAAGACGAGGGGGAGGAGGGGGAGGCAAAGGATGCCTCCAGCGGAAAGCCCGTCCCTGTCGTCGTGCCTGCTAATGCTACGTTGGCGAATCGCAGCTGGTGCTGTTCGAAAACCAAGACAGTCACGTCGATTTGTCGCGGGTGTCTCAAACGATGGCATTGCCACGTCGACCATGGGCTGATTGACCTCACCAAGGATCGCTTTACTTGCTACTTCTGCGATACCAAGACGAAGTCGGCATGTCGGTGTCACGCGTGAGTACCCAATTTCGTTTTCCGCTGTTTAGTATCTTTGTTGGGCTTCTTTGTTCATTTGCAATTCTCTTTAATGATGTGACCAAGAGTGATGTGCCAGATCGAGTTCTCGGATGCTTCTCGCGCACGTGGGTTCACCCAATTCGATACCACCCATGTGTTTTTTCGAGAGGAATATGCAACAATATCTTGACTTCCACAGCGCTCTCGCAGTCTGGTAGGTTGTCACCTGTTTTGACCTAGCTGCTCCGGGAATGTCGCTGGTGGTCTATATCGACTCCAAATTTTCTGGTTGCTTGACCATCGTTCTCCCTCCTTTTTTTTTGTTCCACCTAACGTTCCTTCCGTCTTCCTTTTCTGCGTCACCGGTTGATTTGATTTATGCTCGCGGCAAAACCTACCATGTTTCGTGTTTTGTTGTTGTTCAATTCGAAGCAGTGCACATATGTAGATCACTGCTGACATATTGACATATTGCCCATGTGTTGCGATTTGAAAACCAACGCTAGAGAGACTGTAGAGCGGGGAACAAGAACGTTTTTTCTCGCATGCTGGTAAGGACATCCGCATGCAATGTGCCCACCGCTAAACTACCACATTTCTTCCATTCAGCGCATGCACTTCGTTGCATATTATTTGGCTGCAGTGCTCGAAGCTCTTGAGTTGCTGCCATGTCGACAAGACTACCCAGCAATATTATTTTTTATCTGATACTTGTGCATAGTTTCCTATGACCATTGCTGTGTCGTAACTATTTCGACAGCTACTTTCGACCACACGGTTTGTCTTCCGTCCCCTTCTTCGGGACCCCTGACATCTTGACCAGGCCAAGGAGGAGTTCATCGCCGGTGGTAGCTCGACCTCTTATTCCACTTGGCCGCCCTTGCGGGTACTGTGGGGAACGATGTCCATGGACTCGTCCTGGCCGGTGATCGCGCGGTTGTTCCCAGGTCCTCGAGCTCCTCCGGAATGGTAGAGTCGACCTTCCGGAACTCCTCCCACAGCTCTTTGTCGTTGGAAAAGACCTTCGGCATGTCACGGAGAGCCTGCGCGAGCTCCTTCGTCCGCCTCTTCGACTGGGCGAGGAATTTCGGGATGAACTGGGGGGGGAAGTTGAGAAAGGGAGGGCGAGGGGCGCATGGAAGGCAATGTTCAGTGTTGTCAGTTGCAGGCTCAAAAGAGTACGAAAGAGCATTAGCCGCGTGTGTGGGTGTTGACGATGGGAAACCACAGGCGAGGATAGCTTTGGCGCAAGGAAGCCTCACACTTCGGGAGGCTACCGTACCCCCTACATTGGTCGCCACGTTACTATTGCGACACTTTTCGTGGAAGGTGGATTTTCCAAAGAATGTCCCAAGTATTCGGTGTGGTGGGCAAGTGGGTCTAGTCCTTTCACCGGGGGGGGCGCCATGAAGAAATGGGTTCCCTTGGACGTTAGTCAAGACGACATTACTTCGGAAATGAAACGCTGGGCACATGACAAAATCCCCAACTTTTGGTGATGAGAACTTTTCTCGGCGGTTTGGCGTACACGAGCGACGCAGCTTGAGACGTTACGGAAGGAACCGAAACAATCATGAATGAATACGCGAGAGGGATGGAGCCTCACCCCGCCGGCACCTCACTCCGCCTACATGTAGAACTTTTGCTCTCTCCTTAATAGCCAAACAACGAAAATCTCGAAGGTGTCTCGCGTCGGCCTGTCAGGTGCTACTTTGGGGTGAATATGGTACGCACCGTAGGAGGAAAGGCGAAGCAGCAAAGGAATATACTGGAATGGATTTCTGCGAAGACTTGCTCCTTGATGACCCCGGCTGATACGTGAAATGTTAGGACCGAGAGGTTTGAATACTGCACCAGAATTACATGAGACGAACACAAACAAACGGTCGGTTCCACGAAATCCATTTCGTTCGTCGATTATCGGAAAACGATCGAAATCGAACGAAATGTTCACTTTCTTTTTTACGGTTCTGGGAGAAGATCGGCTGGATGCTGAGCGTATATTCTATGTTTTTTGTTTACCTACACTGGGTTTTGAACGCTTTCGGCAGCTGGCCCTAAGCACATACAACATCTGTATAGGAATAGACGGGCGTCCCGGTGGTCTAGTGGTATCTTTGTAAACCGCTAGTCGCAAAGGCAGTGAGCTCGAATCCACGTGGGGTGAAACCATTACAAAATTACGAAATATAGACTACCTGAAACAGCTCTCGTGAGTACCAAACTTCGACATTAGCACCGTTGACGAGGGAAGGGGACGGCTGGATCCTTCTCGCGATAAATAACAATTCACCACGCACCGCAGGATGAAGGTGGGGCATTATAATATATAAAAAGAAGAAGAAAACCCTGGTTTTTACCCCCTCCTGTGTGGCCCTGGATGGTTGTACTTGTACGAAAAAGTACACTGAAAATGGGGGGACTGGAGCCATACATAATATATAGTCTATGGTAGGACGAAAATCACAAACATAGGAATGCATTTTTCATTGCATCCCCTGCAGTTCTCTGCTGGGTGAATGACAATAATATCATGGACAAGCCCTCCTATACGTGGTGTGTTGAAAAAAATTTACCGTCATAGCTTCAGGGGATGGTGCGTTTGACAACTTGCTGGGGATATTGTGGCAATTTTGTGAATCTACCTCTATTTATTTTTTCTGGATGTACAGCGAGAATTGCCGTTTCGGATAATAATGTCGAGAAAAACTGTTACAACGTAGTCAGGCACAGTTTACCATAGGTGCGACTGCGGCAACTAGCCTTCCGTAGACATAATACAGAAAGAAGAGATGGTACTCAGCAGAGAACATGAGCACAGATTTGTAGCGGAGATAATTTGGCAGGCGAGACTGTAGTTGTTTTATTGTTCCGAACCCCGAAATTCCGGTACTCGGGCCATTAGACTACTCCGGAGACCCTCGGAACCTGCTGTGTTTTTGCTGCTTGTTTTTTGTTTTTGTTTTGTTGTTGAGATGAGACACAAGCGCGCCTTCGCCCCTTGTGCTCACTCTCATCTAGCACCCATCAAAGCCTGACCAGGGAGTCAGTTGATAAGAA